ACACACACACACACACACACACACACACACACACACACACACACACACACACACACACACACATCAATCAATCAATCAATCAATCAAACCCTTTTTTTGTTTATTTGTTTTCAATTTTTGCATCTTCATTTTTGTTAAACACCTAATTTCCCTACAAAAAAACGAAATTCATTTCTAAAAAAAATACAGCACAACTCAGGGACCATATCCCTCATGATAAAAAATGACCAAAAAAAATTCCTGCTTTTCTTTTTATTTTTCTTTAATATTTTGTTTAAATTGAATTTCGTTTTTCATTTTTTTTAAACCTTAAACGAAGCCCGATTCCAAAATAAAAAACATAAGATTGTAGGTTTTTTCAAGCCCTACCCCCCTGTATATATATTTTTTTTTACTATAGTTTTAGGGGGGGGGGGGGATTATTAAAAAAACAGGCCGCGGACTGGACCTCATCGGCCGCGGCCGCAGCCGACTTTTTCGGTCGTAGCGGCCGAATTGCCCGCGGCCTAAGTCGCGGGTGTCACATAGCCTACGTCCCTTCCCGAACACGTTTCTTCCATAACATTGCTTTCGATGACACCCTCACCACCACGATGTCGAATGAGTTCTCCACACCCGACCCCGACACCGAGTCCACTTCTACTGACCCCCCATCTTTCACCGAGGAAGAAGTCCACATCATCCATCTCCTCAGGATGGAGCGTGGGAACCGCCAGGCTCGCGCATCTTCTTCCACCTCGCCCCCTCGCTTAACGAAGCTCACCCCCGAGGAATGTGCCTACCTCCAAACCAACAATGGGTGTTTTCAGTGTCGTCAGTTGGGCAACCAGTAAACTAGCTGCCCCAACGCTAGCCAGTTCACTCGACAAGCTCCCTGCTCCACGGAACCTCGGCCCGTCGTATCCACCACCCCACCATCCGCAACATCGGGACCCTCCCCCACATGAACACCGTCCCCTTGCCTCTCTCGACCACGCCCCGGCACTGACAACTAGTCAATCGGCCCCTCTATTGGCATCGACGATCCGTCTGCCACCCCCACCTCCTCCAGTGACACATACCCCACCGGATGACACTCAGGCGTCACAGTTTACTCCGCCTTCCCCCCTCCCGACGATGTCTCTCACCCCGTTGGTTGAGCTCATCATTAGCATGTGTTCCTCTACCCGTCTCCCTAATCCCTCTCACATCACCTTCTCCGATGTTGTTGAGGAACAAGCGCGGCACGGCCAGCTTGTTAGACTAGGCACCGAACAGCACTGCCTCGACAACATGACCTCCGCCGCTTGTGCCGAAACCGCCCAGTTCCAGCTCAAGTTCATATTCATCTCCCTTCGCGTATCGACGCTGAAGTTTCAGGCCCTCCTCGATGGTGGGGCTAACAACTTCATTACCGACGCCTATGTCTGCAAAGCCGGTCTCCCCTCAACCGGCTACGACTCCCTGATCACCATTCGCTTAGGGGACAAGGACTCAACCGTCATCGTCGATCGCATAGTTCCCGAGGTTAACATGACTGTCGGCTCCCTCCGCAGTCAGATCTCCTTCGATGTCATGCACCTCATGTGTGACGTCATCTTGGAACTATTTGGATTGATCGCTACATGCCCTACTCTTGCTACCCCTCTTTCGTCCGCCTCTCTTCTACTCCAAACTCTACCCTTGACATCCCTTATATTTTTCCCCCTACCACCCCACCCCGCGTCTCCCCCCACCAAATTGAATTCCTCCAAACGTCTCGCCAACACCCTGACTCCACCTAATATTGCCTCGTCATCAACCGCGAGCGTCCTGAGGACTTGATTCCAACGGACAAACCGAAACAAGCCCTTCTATCTGACCCTCACATCACCTCTCTCCTCTCATAATTCAAGGACTTCTTCCCCGAGTCCTTGCCTGTCGGCTTGCCACCCGATCGCGGTGTATCTCACACCATTGATCTCGAACCCGGTCATTCCTCTCCTTGCCGCCCTCCGTACCAACTCTCCGTCCCAGAGGCCGAAGAGATGAAACGCCAACTCAATGAACTCCTTGAAAAAGGATACATTAAGCCTAGCTCATCCCCCTTCGGAACCAGCTACCTCTTCGTAAAAAAGAGCGGCACCTCGGAGCTCCGCATGTGCACAGACTACCACGCCTTGAACCGGATCACGATCAAGAATAAGTATCCACTCCCCCAGATATCTAAACTTCTTCATCGCCTCCGCGGAGCCAAATACTTCACCAAGATTGACCTCCACAGTGGCTTCCACCAGATCCGTATGCGTGAGGAAGATACCCATAAGACCGCCTTTCGGTCTCGCTTCGGGCATTACGAGTTCCTAATGATACCTTTTGGCCTCACAAATGCCCCAGCGACCTTCAAGTCCACCATGAACCACATCTTCTGCGATCTCCTCGAAGTCCTCGTTGTGATCTACCTCGACGACATCCTTGTCTTCAGTCCCACCTTCAAGTCCCACCTTCAGCACATAGAGAAGGTACTTCCCATCCTCCGCGAGCAAAAGTTCTACGCTAAGCTTAGCAAATGCACTTTTGTAGCCTTCAGCGTGGACTACCTTGGCTTCATTGTCTCTGCTAACGGTATCCGCATGGACCCCTCGAAGGTTGCCGCTCTCGTTGAGTTCCCACCTCCCACCACCTTGCTCCAACTTCGGTCATTCGTTGAACTTGTTAACTACTAACGCCCCTTCATCCAAAACTTCTCTGACACCGCCTATCCACTCCATGAGCTCACCCGCGCTACCGAGTCCTTCACATGGACCAAATGCCACCAAGCCACCTTCGACAAACTCAAACACCTCATCACTACTGCCCCTGTTCTCAAGATCGCCGACCCTTCTCGCCACTTCTACGTCACCACTGACGCTTCGGACTTTGCCTTTGGCGCCGTTCTATCCCAACATTTCCCTCACGACCCCCCGACTATCAAAGATTCCCCCTCGCAGTCGGAAACACTTCCCGGTGAGTACCCTATCGCATTCGCGAACAAGAAGCTTATCGCTGTTGAGATGAACTATCCCTCCAATGAGAAGGAACTCATCGCTGTCATCTATGCCCTTAAAGTATAGCGCCATGACCTCGATGGCGAGTACTTCACCATTCGCACCGACAACACCGTCGTCTCCAGTACCCTTACCAAAAAGGATATCACCCCTCGTCAGGCCCGCTGGCTGGATTTTCTTGCCCAGTTTACCTTCACCATCTGCCATACTCCCGACAAGACCAATCGTGTTGCTGATGCCCTCTCTCGCCGACCCGATCACAAACCCCCTAAGAAAGTCTTCGCTGCCACGACGCATGTCAAGTTTCCCCAATCTCTCCAACATCGCTTCATCCATGGCTACGCCTCCTACCCTGACTTCGCCGCTACCTATACCAAACTCCACGACCTTGACACTATCCCTAACTACTCCCTCATCGACCATCTCCTCTACATCGACATCAAAGGAACTCGCCGTCTTTGCATCCCTTCCGTCCGTGGTCTCCGTACCCAGTTCTTGGCTGACACCACGACGCCAAGACTGTCGAACACCTCGGTTTCCAGAAAACCTTTGACAATATCTCCCGTTACCTCTACTAGCCCTCGCTCCTTGCACGTCAAAGCCTACATCCGTTCTTGCCCTAATTGCCAAGCCGTCAATCCCTCCAACCAAGCTAAGGCTGGCAAACTCCAGTCTCTCCCCATACCTACCCACCGTTGGCAATCTGTCTCCATGGACTTCGTCTGCGGTCTCCCCACGGTCGACCATGGTCGTAATTGCATCTATGTCCTTGTTTGCCGCCTTACCAAGCGCGCCCATTTCATCCCTTTCACCACCACCTGCCAAGCCAAGAACGCCACCAAACTCTTCTTTGACCACATCACCCGTCATCACGGACTCCCTTAAAACATCATAAGCGATTGTGACTCCCGATTTCTCTCGCAATTTTAGAAAAACCTCTTCAAGGAATACAGGGTCACCCTAAAGGACAACATCGCCTTCCATTCCCAGACTGATGGTCAGACAGAGAAGATGAATGATACTCACCAACTCATCCTCCGGATGTATTGTCATCCCCATCAGCACGACTAGGACCAGCTCCTCTCCGCTGCTGAGATCGCCTACAACAACGTTGTCTGCCCCTCCACTGACATGTCTCCTTTCTACATCGACCTTGGCTACCATCCTCGCTTGCCCTCCGACTTCTTGCCCCCCTCGCAGCTCAACCCATCTACTCCCTGCCCCTCTCTCAATAAATGGGTAGCCACAATGAACCGCCTCCTAAGAGAAGCCACCAAATCTATTCAACGAACTCAGGAACAACAAGCCAAGCAAACGAACAAACATCGTCGTGACGTCACTTCCCATGTTGGGGACAAACTCTGGCTCTCTGCCAAACGCTTTGATCCCGAACAAGGCGTGTCCAAGAAACTCTCAAACAAGTGGCTCGGTCCATTCCCTATCATTGAAAACATATCCGATGTAAATTACAAGCTCCAACTCCCTCCTGACATGAACCGCGTCCATCCTGTCTTCCGTGTAGAATACTTGAAAGAATTTCACGAATCACCTCCTCTGTTCTCTGATCGCCCTCATCCTCGTCCGACACCTATCGTGCTTTCCACAAGTCCTAAATTCTCTGTGGAGTCCATCATCGGCCGTAGAACAACTCAAGTATCCAACCACCCCGAGCCTATCACAGAATAAAAAATGGATAGGATACTCAGACGAAGAATCAACATGGGAACCCCTTGCAAATCTAAAGAACACCATGAAACTCGTCCGTGCCTATGATCGTACCTACCCTGTCTCATAGCTATCTACTTGCCTATGCTTCGACCTGTACATACCTACTCTACACACACCACCCCTGAACCCAGCCTAACCCCTACCCTTGATCTCGATCTCTTGCTGTCTGATCCGCCCTTGCCTCAACCCAAGTCCTTCCCATCTGTCCTCTACCACACTCTCTGTTTCTCTTCATGCAACTGGTTTGGCCACCATGCTGTTTCCTTGGCCGGCATCTGGACTCGCGGACTTACTGGAGCAGCGACATGTGGTCTGGACCTTTGCATCAGTCTGTGATTTCCTTGCTACCGGATCAGACCCCCTTGCAGTTCATGAACCCCCGTACTACAGCACTTGGACTTTGGACACTTGTACTCCTACTTCACTTTCCCGCAGCTTGGACATTCGACAACTACCTGTTGCAGCCGCTGAAGACCAGTTCTCTCACCTATCCTGGATCTGATCAAGACCTCTGAAGACCTTCCTCAAGACATTTTTCACATTTTGACACTTCGTTACAGACCTGAGACTTTGTTTTCCCCAGATTCCTCAGACACCCAGCCCATGAGCATTGAACAAACTATTTTTCTTTTTCTTTTTCTCAAACCTGACAACCTATAACCTTGTAGAACATCAATAGGACTGCCCTGTTACTTGTAGAACCTCACTAGGATCACCCTGTTACTTGAACATTGCTACCCGCCACCTTGCAGAACTTCAATACGATTACCCTGTTACTTAAACATTGCTACCCTCACCCTTGTAGAACCTCAACAGGATCACCCTGTTACTTGAGCATTGCTACCCTCAACCTTGTAGAACCTCAACAGGATCACCCTGTTACTTGAGCATTGCTACCCTCAACCTTGTAGAACTTCAATAGGATTACCCTGTTACCTAAACATTGCTACCCTCACCCTTGTAGAACCTCAATAGGATTACCCTGTTACTTGAGCATTGATTCCCTCATCCCCGTAGAACATCAATAGTACTGCCCTGTTACCTGTTACTTCAACCGTGTCGCACCTCAACTACGCTGTTACCTGAACATTGATACCTTCACACTTGTAGAACATCAGCAAGATTGCCCTGTTACTTGCATTACTCCCCCTTTCCTTTTCTGACCAGTGATCGGCCCCGTCCCGTCCTTCACGGTTGATCATCAGGTCTTTGGAAGTCGGGACGTTGCCTTCCAGAGGGAGGGGATAGTGTTACGGACTCACCCAGGGCTCGATCCCTGGTCCGCGGGTTACCACCCGCCAGGCTGCTATTTCATTTTTAGGTCTCTGTTCTCAGACCTCTGACTGTTGGCACTCTCTGCAGTTGGCCCCCGTTCTCAAATTCCTCTTTTGGCACTTTCGGATTTTGATACTTGGCGCCATCCGGCATTCTGGCACCCCTACTCAGACCTTCGATTTTCAAGTTCAGCCCTGAGGCAATTTGCACTTCTGCCCTCGGGACTGAACTTGAGTCCGGTACTTAAGACCAGACTCAAGCCCAGTACGGGCAACCAGTTTTCAGCTACTGTGCTTGCTTTGTGTGACTCGCCCCTCCGGCATCGAGATTTGAAGACTTCGACTTTGTGACTCCACTACTTTGTCTGCGTCCGTCGAGTCCGTCAGTCTTGTCGAGTGAGTGAGTGTGTGTGTGTGCTCTCCCTCTCTCTCCCTCTCCTCTCCTTCCTCTCTCTCTCTCTCCTCTGTCTCTCGCTCGTTACAAGCTTAGAGATAGTGGGCCTGGCCACCGAACTGTTCTCAGACATGTTTAGAGATGTATATGCCTGGAAGCAAAGGTGGATTGCACATTCAGCCACATGTCATCAGACTCATCACTTCTCGCCTAAAAAGATTGAAACCTGACCGGTCCTCGCGGCATCTGTGTAGCTGCTTCCGGGCCGCAGTATGGAACTCATAGTACCTATGAAGGAAGCCCCAAGTAAGCATTCAGGCAGAATCAGGCTGTTGCTCTGCTAGGAGCTGCAGTTGAGGAAGGAGGAGGACTCGCATGCTGGAGCTCATAGCTACAGGAGCTTTAGTACCTATGCTAGAGCTCATACCTACACAGGCTACAGTACCTATCCTGGAGCTCATAGCTACAGTGGCTATGGTGGAGGTACAGTAGCTACAATTATAACACTCCAGGAGCTTTAGTACCTATGCTGGAGCTCATACATACAGGAGCTGTAGTACCTATGCTGGATCTCAGACCGACAGGAGCTATAATACCTATGTTGGGGCTCATACCTACAGGAGCTGTAGTACCTATGCTGGGGTCATACCTACAGGAGCTATAGTACCTATGCTGGAGCCTGAAGCTCATACCTACAGGAGCTATATTACCTATGCTGGAGCTCATACCTACAGGAGCTGTAGTACCTATGCTGAAGCCTGAAGCTCATAC